TGACTCCTTGATAACTAACGAGCATGTGAGGGAAAAGAAGGCTTTGTTGAAGTGAAGTAGCACTCACAAAGTCTCAGGAGAGAACTCGGTGTGCTTGCTGTTTGTTTCATGTGGCAGAACAGCTGTATTCTTTTCCTAATTTTCTCCCAGCTTCTCAGGCTTGGTATCAGGATGCACTGAGCACCCAGTGAGAATAGAAGACGCCCAATCACTTACAACATTTTGGCCCGTGATCTAGCACTACCGTGGTCTGCTATATTCATTTAGATAAACATTAGAGTGAACAGAGCATATGCATGTGCAACTTTTTAAAGGCATTATAAATGACATTCACATCTGTGGTACAACAATGACTGTGGGATTTTCTAATGTTATATATGTGCAGAGTGAAAGAGCAAATTTAAAAGATTTTCCACACAAGCAACTGTTCTAGCTAGCGATCACAGGTACACAAGCACCACTGGAAATCAACAGGACCCATGCAGATAGAAACTGGTGAGACAGAGGAAAGAAATGACATGTTGAGAAAGCTACCTTGGGAAGATGACATCAAAGACTGTGGAAACAGGCAAGGAGGACAAAAAAAGAGGTATTTCATCACAGCCTCCCACTTCTAAATTGGCTTCTAAACCAGAAAAGTCTATTTCCAGAACCAACAAATGAAAGGTTTTAAGAAAGTTAATTTGTAGTGAAGCAAAATAGGAGTTTAATTTGTTTACAATAACTAGTCCCATTATTCTCTGCATTAGCAGATTTGAGCTTTCAGCTGAAAAAAAGGGTTGATGAAAAAATTGGTCTCGAGTCCCCTGGGACTTGATTGGGAACATTTCCAGAAAATTAGATTGAAACAAAAGGCAATAGAGTAGATTAACCAAGATTGAATTTCCCAGAGAAAAGCAACATAACCTAGATTGAGCCTTTTTCATCCTTCCCTAAGAAAAAATTGCCAAGACTCCCAGTGATTTCCTGGCAGAGTTCTGGAGAAGTTCATGCTGGCACTCTGCTTCAGCTCGACTTCTCAAAATTCTGATGCGGATTACTGCTAACTTCCAGAGTGACCTTCAGTCAAGTGTGGAGAACGCGGGTCTGCAGAGGCATGAAATTTTCCTGTTGGGTAGAGGGGTCTTTATAGCAAACACAGCAACCAAAAAGGAAAGGAGAAAATATTGAAATATTTTAGTTCAAAGAACAAAAAGTTCTGTCTTCTCCCTGACCTAACGTCTGACTGGAGAACGAGACAGCTGAAAAGAAGCTCCTCAGGGCTCTGACTCAAAACTCACCATGTGAACACGGTAGATCTTCTCATCTATTTGTACTAGAAGACTGTTAAAGATTAGCATTCTCAACACCTTCCCTTCTCAAGCATTAAGCTCTTGTTGGGGGATAGAGTGTCTCTCTAATCCAAAACTTGAAGTTACACTGTGAATGGGTGAGAGAAGAATCCTCCCAAACCTCTTTTTTCTGAAAAGGAAAAAAGAAAACACAAACCTCCTTGTCCTTGCACCCACTGCAAGTCAGAGTAAGTGGCGGGGACTCTACCTTTAGGACAAAAAAGCAATCACGCAAAAGTGACTTGGAAAGCTTACTTAATTCTTCCTCTCTACTGGCAGAAATCATTCTAATTCTCAGCCTAGTTAAAAAGCTGCTGTAGATTAGAAATCTGATATGAAATTAAAATCATCCTCTGTAACTTCCAACAAGCAGCAAAATCTCAGTAGAACACAGCCGTACAAAATGCCTCAGTTCTCAGTACGAAGTTGGGTGGGAGCCTGCAACTCCTGCTAGCTTTATTTTTTTCAATAGTTTTTT